CGGCTCCCGAGCCTGCCGGGCGTCCTGCTGCCTGCGAGTGGTGAACAAAGAAGTGTGCGAAGAGCTGCGGGCAGCCCTCGCGTGGGGAATGAACTTCAAAGGGAAAAAAGAGCTACCCACAAAAACTGGCAGTAAAAATACTGAGCAAAGAGAGATTTCCGTGGTGAATCCCTCTTAGAGGGAATATCCCCGAGATAATGGGATGTATTCAGCTCTTGTCAAGAGGAAGCGCAAGGCTTCTGCCCTCTGGTTTTGAGTCACTTTCATACCTGTTATTGCTTTTTTTTTTTATGTTCTTAATATGTGGCTAATTATAGCTCAATGCTAAAATGCTTTAAAAAACGTGCTTAAGATTATTTTAGTTTCATTCATATAGGGGAAAATAATGAAGAAGAGTCCTTGGTTTTATTATTTGTTGACTGCATTAGTAGCAAGTGACTGAATTATGACTCGGATGTAGGGTTAAAAGTGCTGTCTTCTTTATTTCAGAGCTCTAGGGGAAGATGTTGTCTCTTCTGACATCTTGCGATTAAGATACCTGAGAACAGGTTCAGTAAGAATCCAGGTTCCTGAAGAAGACGGTTATGAACGTATTGAAATAAGTCGTAAACATTTTCCCCCCCCTCCCGTCGTCTCTACCACTTAAGAAACCGTAATCTGAAGCACTTCCTGGGCGCCTGCCCAGATGAATGAAGTCTGCAAAGCTCACTGTTGAAATCGACCGTTTCCTTGTAAGTGGCACATGCTCGTGAAACGTATGCAGTACTCCTGAAGAAAAAAATCACCTTTTGCTATACCATTCCCAGAAGGAACACTTCATTGTGGACAGCTTTTTCTCAATTAATATCCAAAGAGATTAATGCCTAGAGTTGAAAGGCATTTAGCACACACTGAGAAGTTGGCTTTGCCTCAGTTTTTCCAGATGTATTGTCTCCCCTGTATACTGGAAGTGCACACAACTGCGTAAACGACAGATGTAGTCATGGAGCTGGATGGACTTTTGAGCCATATGAGAAACACAATTGAGCGCTGGTATCAGACATGGCTTCATGATGTCAGCTGAACTGTGATGTGCAATGCTAAACATAATAAAGCATCTGAATGGAGTGACACATATCCTGCAAAGAGGCTGATAAGTTTTATGAGAAAGCTAACAGATTACTGTGATCGGTGACAAGCTCTGCGTGGAAGACCGGTGCAAGATGAATCCCTCTTTCCCGTCTTCAAGATGTTGAAGGGGTATTGCTGCTTATGACAAACCCAAGAGCAGAAGCTTTGTAAAATGGCTCAAACCAGCTTGCTGCAAGGAAAGCAGTTTTACTGTAGGGAGTGGGTTTTCCACAAGCTTCAACACTGCCTCCAGGAGAAAGCCAACTGCAGCAGTAGTGCTGCCAACAAAACATCTCTTGTAGCAAATTCTGGGAATAATACTGGTGGTGTCCCTGGGAAAGGAGCTGCCTGGGGTGTGTTGTTGGTAGGAGGGCCTGGTAGTGGGAAGACGGCCCTCTGTACTGAGTTACTATGGCCAAGCTCACCTGCAAACCTGCAAAGAGGTTTACACCGTCAAGCTCTAGCCTTCCATTTCTGCAGGGCCCAAGACTCCGACACGCTGTGTGTTGGAGGATTTATTAGAGGTTTAGTTGCACAAATCTGCCGCAGTGGACTGATCCAGGGATATGAGGACAAACTAAGAGATCCTGCTATTCAAAGTCTCTTGCAGCCTGGGGAATGCGAGAGGAACCCTGCTGAAGCATTTAAAAGGTAATAAAAACACAACAAACCTAACCCAAATAAAACCCGAACAAACAAAGAAGGCTGGCTTCTGTTTAGGGTCTTCCTTCCAAAGAGTCTGTGATACAGTTTAGAACATGCTTGTCTTGCAAAATTATGGCTTGTTATCTCTCAGTTCTTGTAGACTGACCGTGGAAAAAATCAAACTTTGTCCTCATAGCTGGTATAAATAAATATTTACTTTTTAAAACAATTTAATACTAATAGTGAATTTATTTCTATTAATGCAGTGATACCCTCAGCTGTACCTGCCTTTTGGAAGGAGTTTAAAGTAACAGACTTAAGAGTGGAAGGTACCTAGTGGCCTTTACCTATAGGTAAAGGGCAGTTTTCCTTCAGAGTCCTGAAACGGGCTGTTCAGGACCCTCACAAAAGCTTCCCGTACTGGTTTCTGTCAAACAGGAAACTGGACTAATGGATCTCTGGGTCTGATCCAGCACATCAGTTTTATGTTTGTCTAAAAATATGTGGTAGGAAAGTAACTCTTAATTAACTCCTTATGTTACTTCTTGCATATGTGTGTGGATTATACTAACAATCTATTTAAAATCTAAAAACCATTGCTTATGGGCACTCTAATGCATTCAGTGAATCAGAAACTTACCAAGAGGGCTCTCTTTCCTCCCACATTTTTCTTTCTTCTTGTGATACTAATTGAGTGTATATGTAAGAGTTTACATAGGATCACATAGGAGAATCTTCCTGAGCATTTCTAAGTGCTCATCTATGAGATGCTTATTCCTTAGGGTCACAGGGACGGAAGACTGGGAAAGCACAAGGCTTGTCTCTAGTAGACCTTCAACTGACTGCGTTGCTAGTATGAAACTTTCCTTGGGTGTTACTTAAGCTAAGCTGCTATTGCACAGAGGTTTGCCTTTTTGTAGTGCCTGCAGGTTTAAGGGACCGTGTCTGCGGTATTAAAAAGCCCTGACAGTTTTTTCTTTTTGTTTCCCCCCTTCCTCTTCAGCCTACCAAGGCAGGGGCTGGATGAACAAGCACTGGGGGTTAAGCTGCAGTGCTTGGTCACGTTGGCAAAGTACTCTAGAAGAACCTTGCACTTCTGTAGGCTGTTTTGCTTGCCCAGTGAATAAACAGGATGCAGGTCTGCCATTGTTTTCAGTGTAGTGTCTTTAAAACACCCTGAATAGACTAAACCAAGGCTAATTCTGGATTTTTTGTTTGTTTGTTGCTAAATGACGATGCAAGTTCTAGCAGCTATTAAGGGCTTAATTTGAGATGTCTTAAGTCCTGTCAACTTCTAGTGACTGAAAACAGGATAAAATTAAGTGTTTATAAATAGAATAGCAGGCTAGCTATGTAGCTTTAGACAGACTTTTTAAATTGTGGAAGAGGATTAATCTAAAGGATAAATGCCTATTTTTGTTTAAAAGTCTGTTACGAAGAAATCTTACTAATTATTGTGGCCAAGTTATCTCTAATAGCCTGAACTTTGTCCCTGCTCCAAACATCATTGCCCTGATGCAGAGAACAGGGACTAGGTGCCATGGCTTCAGATGAAACACGATATAGAGATATGGAAGATGACTGCGAGTCAGCGTTCTCGGGGAGATTAATTTTTATGAATGCTTTAATGATTGGCTGTTTTCATATTTAGTTCCTTGTACAAGGTTTGTGGGTTTCGACTAGAAAAATAACATGACAAAACATTTGACATTAGTTTTTCCTTATTCTGATTTTGCAGCAGTGATGGTGAACCTCTACTGTTACACTGGAAATACTAGACTGTAGTTCAGCAGCTTCAGTCAAGGAGAACTTGAGGGTGTTCTCAGGCAAATCCTGTGATTCCCTCGCTGCCCACCTATCCTGGTGTGTTTTTGAAAGCAGCTGTTAGCTTTCATCCTCATGTTTCAGGGTTGAGGAAGATGGAGTGCTAGGGGCAAGGGGAAGTCCTGGGAATATAGGTTTTCAGCACGGTGGCAGGAGACCAGGAGATGGCTGTTGACAGCAGTACCGTGAGCTTGTTCTGCTGCCTGTATGATTCAACTGCTGTCTTGCAGATAGGAGGACCTTAACTACCCCTGTCGCCAAATGTCGTAGCAATTTATTGATGTAGTTTTGTTAAAATACAAAGCATAGAAAAAATGTTCTTTAGTAAATACAACGTAAGTGGGTTTTTTTTGTCTCCTAAGACTCCGTGCTAAGCCCTACAATCTTCTAGTCTGGTGTATTTATATGTCCATTCTGTTAAGTGCATGCTGGTGTAATGTGAAAAGAGTTCTAGCAAGGCATAACAGTGAGTTGATTGTCCTTCATATTTTGTAAAGATGCTGAAACTGCACAGAACTCTCATCTCAATGCTCCATTCATGTTATCTTATTCTAATTTTCTTTATTCAATAGGCGAGTGTCTTTCTTTAAGGACACGGTCACAAATTCTTGCTCTGCTTTGCATGGCTGCTCCAGGCTGAGCTACATATTCATGGCCTAAAATGGAAAGACTTCTCTTTGAGTGTTAAACAAGATTACACTATTCTATTTTTGTGCCAGTTGTCCCAGAAATAGTAAGAAAGAAACTTTTAGATGCCTTGGAAACGTGCTAATGATATCATGTCCATTACTCAAAGCAGTTTATCTTTTTATGAAGAAGATATTCCTTAGGTTTCCCGCAATCCTGGTGGTCGTAGTGATACATATGCAATTAATTATCCAGAAAGTTAAAGCTTTTTTCCCCTCTATTTGAATGTCTCTCTCTCTCTCTCTCTCTCTCTCTCTCTCTCCCCCCCCCCCTCAAAAAAAAAAAAAAAAAAAAAAAAAAAAAAGTATAGTATCAGACTGCTTTAATCACTTTAGGGACAGGTCTACAGCTTGAAGAGCTGGCTGGGCTGCCACATACAAATGTGTTTGACAGGCATTTGTTGCTGTACTGACAGCTGAGAGGAGGTGCTACTAGTGGCACCACTTCTGCAACGCTTTGCTCCCGACATGCAGATCTGGAGCAGAGAGAAACCTCAATCATAAGGGAGAATGCTGAAGCTCAAGTTTGAGCGTTAGGTAAAAGCAAAGCAGAAAGCATAAAGGAAGCGGCAAAGAATATTTCAGATTCTAAAAACACAGATGAGTAATGCATTACACTGCAATGAATTTAAGTGACAAAAATCTATTATGCAATTCTTACCTATTTAGACAGAAAAAGCAAAACCAGGTTATCCCAATTTCTGCCATATTACCTTAAGTGTTGTGGGGGGAAGTTTTCAGTTTCGTTGCAGTGTGTTTATACTTCTAGTGTCTGGTACAAATACAGGTGGATATTCGATTATACAAGGAAGAGGAGGAATTCTTATAAAGCAAAACCATGATACAAAGCAAATGATATACATGATACATGCATGATATAAAGCAAAACAATAATATGGAAATTCATGTAAATTAGGCAATTAGAAAATATTTACCCTTATGATTTCTGTTTATGTTTTACAGAAAAAGGAGATGACTTTAGCTTAAGATAGGAGGCAGTGAGGGAATATGTGCTTTCCCCATGTGTTGTTCTACAATTAGAATTAGTGGAGCAAGGCAGAGCTTGATTTAATTCTCAACCTGGGTAGAGGACTGCATTAGAAGTGGAGAACGCATTTTCATTGCATAGTTGATTTCTTTTCCAGCTACAGCTCTAAGTGAAAGGTATCCACTGCCAGAGTTTGAGTCAGTTGCAGAGAATTTAGAGCAGCTGCCTCCTAAATAACATAAGGTAGTTAAGCTTGCATTAAACTTACTCTCAGTGTGTGTTGGTCTAGTACAAAGTTTGAGTTTTGGATAATGCTTTCTGGTGGACATCTTTGTGATAACTTAAACTCTTGTGAGATTTTTGCATGTACTTATTTCTTATAATTGTATTTGGGTCAGTTATGTTTAAGTGCTTTTTTTTACTTGAGTAGTGACTCAAAATTTTAACAGTGGAATGTGTCTCTACAATTACTTTAATGTAGGATGGCCTGCTCTAAGATTTATACTGGCAAAAAGTAATCTGCAAGTAACTATCCTTCATCCATCCAAGGGAAGAGGAGAAAAAAAGGGAAAAAAATGCTGAACAGAACACATTTGAAATTGTGTAAGAACTTTATAGAAGCCTTCTTGAATTGACATTACATCTTCTTTACCAAAAAAAAATATAGTAGAAGCAGATCTGCAAAATGCAATTGTCCTTCAGCAAAGACAAATGTGTTTGTTTCTTTTTCAGAACAGGCCAGGGATAAATCCAATACTGTGGCAAGAAACTTGCATCCTAATACAACTTAACCAGTAATGTTAAGCAATAGAAAGAAAAGCAGTTTTGTAGTTTGTCTGGAATACCCAACAATCTGTACACTTGACTGTAAAATGTGTGAGGTCACATGAGGTTTATGTTGACTGCAGGTACGAAGTCAGCATTTATATTGATTAGAGTTGAAAGCCTTCTTGCTTGAGTCATTGGTTTGGCCAGCATTAGATGCTATGTATATAAAGTTACTTTTACCTTTTGGGGGAGAATTTTGCAATTAGCATGGAAAAGTTTGCAGGATTGAGCCTCCAGTGTTTCATGGTTGGCACTATAGTGGAAATGTTAAAAACAGCAAAACTTGGAGGAAAAAAACTAGGGTTATGAATCCATGCTAACAGATTTCTTTTTTCCCCTTACCTTGTATGGGCTTTCTATGCTGCTTACTCCTTTTTTTTTTTTTTTTTTCCTCCCTCCCTTCTTTTCCCCGGGGCTGGTGTATCACCACAAAATTACAGGTGCCTGGGTGAGATTTTACCTTTGTGTAAATGATAAGGGGAAAAATTTTATTTCGAGTTCCAGATTGCTTGCTTGGCAGCATAGAAAAACTCAAGTTTGTTCAGCATATGTTCTGCAATAGTTGTCCAGGGACTTTAAATCTACAGTACTGAACTGTCTTTTTTAGTATTATTATTTTTCTTGCCATTTATCAAGCATAAATGCTGGAGGGATTGTGGAAAACTGGGTGTATATGATAA